CTACACATATTTCGTCTTGGTGTTATGCCTGTGTATGGAAAAATTGCGCCCCGAAGATGAAAATTTGAAATTATTGTCTCATCAATTTCCTTGTATTATTCCAGGAATTGATAGTAAGCTAATGTCTCATTAAGTCCTATTAGCGAAGTGATTTCCCCATTAATCGCATTAACATTGCTTATTAATTCTTTGTATTTCAATTAATTTATATATATATATATATATATATATATATATATATATATATATATATATATATATATATATATAATGTGTGTTTTGTGGGTGCCGTGACAATATTTTGCGGCTTATTTAAGAGGATAGCGCAGCTCACTATGCGTGTCACGACAAAGGGGAAAGTGAGAATCACTCTGTTAGGATCACTGATACAGTAATGCCTATAATGGGTAACTGAAAACTGGACATATATTCTCCCTTACTTACACATTTATTATGAGCATTGAAGTACATACCGAATGTACTCGTGTAACGCGCGATCTCACGTATCGTGCGACCCGCAAATTTTCACATAAAAAATTATTTTATCACGTATTTCGTGTATCATTTTTGAAATCCTTTTTTCTCGAGACCAAATTATTGTAAAATAACCTATTTTATATATCTTTTATCATAAGTTAAAAAAATAAAAGAGAATGATAAAAGTATCGTTAGTAACGCTATACTCGTTCCGTAAACGCGTACAGCCATAAACAACCGAACGAAAAACAGTTTAGTAGATTATCAGTTTTATCAAAATCATGTTTATTTTAAATACAGCTTTACTTTTTGACTCGAGTAAAATGGATATATAGTTTGGTCAAAGACGTTTTCAGGACCAGCAGTAAATACGTTAATTTTACATCTCGTGTATGCTCTGTACACAGTATCGAATCATCGTCATCCTCGTTATATTCCATTAGTAAGGAGTAAGATCCACTCGGATAGATTCTGCCCAGAACAATAGGCGTAGATAGAGTATAATATAGGTTCGCCTATCACCAAATTGAAACACGTTCCTTGTCTTTTGGAGAGGTGTAAACAGGGGTGTATCTGAAATTTTTAAAACACGTAAATTTCAGAAACACGTTATTCCAAAAAAAATTTCGCTTGAAGATGGAACAGAGCTTATTTTAACTTATTTTAACTAAATTTAATTTAAATAATTATATTGAAATAAAAAATTCTCTTGTTTTGAAACATGGGACTTCTTATGTCGCGATTTGGAATCATATTTTTAAATAAATAATTATATATATACATATTATGAAATGGACAAAGTCCGACAATTATTTAAGACATGTTTATATGTTCTTTTATTAGATACAAATATAAAATGTCTTAAAATAATTGTCGGGCTTTGTCCATTTCATAATGTATGACGTCATTTTTTTTACATTTGGATACGCATTGAGCAGATACGAATGAATGAGAGAAAATCATGGAGAATTGTATTTAAAAGCAGTAAAATCGACCTTAAACTGAACGCAGATTCTTTTGAAATATCGGTCAAAATTTTTCAGGCTATATGATCCAAAATCCGTATAGGATACAGGTTCGATTCCTGTCAAAGGAAGCGTATTTTCTATAAAAATTTCTCGGACATTCCTTCCGGTAAATGTTGTCGATACTGTTTATTATAAACAGAGCATTTACTTAAATATTTGTATCTATAAAAAGAACGTATAAACATAAAAAATGTCTTATCTTCGTATTATGATTAATATGTAAAAGAAAAGTATAAAAAAATCGCTTGGTTGTAAATTTGTCAAAAAAAAAAAAAATAGCAACTTTGTTATCGCCGTGGCATTGCGTTCGATATATATATATATATATATATATATATATATATATATATATATATATATGTATATAAAATCTTCGTTGCGTTAAGTCTGATAACTTATCAAAGGGTTTTTTATGTGTCGACAATAAATGGCTGACAGGTGAAGAGAGAATGTGTCGAACCAAATAATTCCTATCCTAAAATAGAAAGTCGCTTGAACTCATTAAAATATTATTCAATATCCCGAAAGTAATTAATGAAGTTCAAATCTAGGCTATTTTGAATTATTTAAAATGTTTGACTGTTCATTTCCATTTATTGAAAGAAATTCATTTCTTGACTGGAAGCGAAATGGATATTCGCTGTTAAATATTCATCGAGAATTCATTCACCATTCACGATAAAATATATATATAAAAAAAAATATAGACAAGAAAAAAAAACATGAAGACAGATATGATGTGGAGACAAAATATATGATGCAAATGTCCTTATACATAGATAGCGGGGAATATTAATATAAAACGATTGAACATTATTACAATTTTGAAAATATAAGTATAAAATTCATTTTTAAAATTCAACGCAAGATATTTGAAGAAAACGGCACGCATAGAATGGAACAAAACCAAACACACAAATATATATATATATATATATATATATATATATATATAAAGCGTGTCTGACCTTTGAATAAATATTAAAGAAGATATATTTACTATTTGTCATTTTTAATTTAAAAATAAAATTGACATCATCAAATAAATATTGGAAATTTCTACAACCTTCCATTTGAATTATTTAGATTTTTAAATTTCTTTAAAATTTTAAAATTTGAAATTTAATTTGAATAATTTTTTTATTTGCTTAAAATGGATAAATTTTATTTAATTCTATTAACTCATTTATATTTTTGACTTTTTATTAATTTTAATTACGTTGGTTTGTGTCAAGGATATATGTATGTGAAAAGTTTGTTTATTTTATTGTAAATTTAATAAATTAAAAAAAAATTATATTGTACGAATAATTTCCCCCATTATTGTTTTACAAAAGTTTAAAAATATAATATATATATATATATATATATATATATATATATATATATATATATATATATCATCCATTTCTGTCGATCTCAGTTTGATTTGATCTATCTATTAATTATATCTATCTATCTATCTTTCAATCAATTACATAGATATTTAAAGACAGACAAACACGAACACAAAAATCATAAAATAAATTTTAAAACAGACAATTTTGAGAGAGACACAAATATAAATAACTCACTGAACACACATCATTTAACATTAAACATATATATAAATATATATATATATATATAATATATATATATATATATATATATAAAAACTGAGTAATAAAAATTTAAATAACAATCATATAAACTTCAATAATTAAATTTGGTTTTAAAATATTTCTTACATATTTTATAAGTTCGATTCAAAAGAAATCAATTCATTTTACTTCAATAAAAAAGAATGTAATAAAATCATATTCAAAATTGATCCATTAAATACACCATAATTATTATAAATAATAACCACATATGGTAAATTTTTCAATCCTTTTTGACATTTTAATATTGTTCTTCTTTTCCAAAAAAAAATAATAGTCTATTATCCATTCAGCAGGTTCAGTTTCCGGGGTAGTTTTAGTTGCTTCCCATAAGTCTTGCTTTGCTGTTGTATTTTTTGCCGCCTTTATATACTTTCATCGTCACAATTCACCATATATTTTCGATTTAATTCAAATAAATAAATTGATGGTTTTAAACATTCCATTATCTTCTCTCAAATTGAATTGAAAGATTTCTCAAAGAATTCACATATAAGAACTATGAATCTATTTTCGTTTATAGTCTCTGTGATGTACGCATAATTACAAAAGCATTATATACACCCTTGAAAAAATCAATTTTAAATGTTTAATTAGTTTTCCTTTCTTTCAACAATACCTTCAATTTTAAATATACTGGACTGATAAATTGTAATCGATTTCTATTTTTGCCTCAAATTAATTTCATTTCATATAATATGTGCAATAATATTTTCAAATAATATATGATGAAATTTGTTTGGTCTTTAAAATATTGCGTCATCCGTGATTGCATCAGATTTTCATCACACCCAGACACTACTATCTTGACTGTCGATCAAAAAGTCCTATGGCCATTGTCTGAGATGGACCTACTTCCATTGGGAATAAATGGAAACTTTTGACGCACGAACACACTGAACTTACCTTATCAGTGAGCAAATCAAATATTTATTAAACTATCTTGAAAACTCCTGAAGAAAATGCATTTATTTTTAGAATCTGTGGTCAATCTTCAAAATGAACGATTCGTTTAGCCATAATGAAGTACTAAAATGTGCACTTTAAATTGTTTTCTGTTTGAAATACGAAGAAAAATAAATAATAACGGAATATATAAATAAATTCTACATACTTAAATTTCATTTTTATATATTTAATGTTCTTTAAAAGAAATATAGTATTATTAAAAAATTAAACGTGAAAATATTTCTCAAATTGTAATAAAAAATAAAACGTATTCTAACATAAACATTACAAAAATCTTTTAAATTTTTTTAAAATAAAAAAAATGCCGTTCTAGAATTTTTATATTATAAATAAATTTAAAAAAAAAAAATCCAGACGACATGCATTTAACGGATTTATCAAATTCATTGAAAAATACATCCCTACCCCTACCAAAACGTAACTAATAACTTATGCAAAAATACAGCGAAATGAACAACAAACACCATAAAATGTTTCAAAATTATTTATTTATATATATATATATATATATATATATATATATATATATATATCTAAATATATATCTATTTATCTATCTATCTATCTATCTATCTAAATTATCTATCTATTCCAATCTCCTCGATATATATATATATGTGTACATATATATATATATATATATATTGTGTAAAAATAAAATAAAAATCTATCTATCAAAATGTTCATCTATCTATCTATCTATCTTAAATCTATTAAATATCTATAAAAATATCTATCGTAAATAATCTATTATAAATATGTTTCTATATATATATATATATATATATATATATATATATATATATATATATATTTGTGTCAGTCTATTAAAATTTTTTAAATCATATCTAACTTTTAAAATCAAAATTGTAATCAATAAAAGTTTTACATTATCTATTATCTATCTATTATCTATCTATCTATCTGTGTTTTTCTATTCATATCTATCTATTTATCTATCTGTAAATCTCTTCAATATTTTTTATATCATATATATCTTCTTTATCTTTTCTTCATATCTATCTATCTATGACAGTCTATTCATATCTATCTATCTATCTATCTTTATTCAGTCTATTCATATCTTTTAAAAAGTTATATATATATTTATATATATATATATATATATATATATATATATATATATATAAATCTTATCTATCTATCTATCTATCTATTCATTATATCTATTCTATCTATCTATCTATGTCAGTCTATACATATCTATCTATCTCTATCTATCTTTCTATCTATCTATCTATCTATCTTCCTCATCTATTCATATTATTTAAATATCTATCTGAATGTCTCTTCAAATCTATCTTGGTCTTCAACATATATCTATCTATGTCAAATCTCTTCATATCTATCTATCTATGACAGTCTATTCATATCAGACTATCTATCTATCTATCTATCTATCTATCTATCTATTCCATGAATTTCTGAATTTTTTTTTCCTTGTATATAAGGCTATATATATATATATATATATATATATATATATATATATATATATATTTATCTATAAAAATGGATATAAAATAAACATAGTTATAATATTATGCTATATTTGTTATAATGTTTTATTTCAATTAATTTTAAAAATAAAAAAATATATACAAGGTATAATCAAGTTGTGGTGGATGAATTTTCGTCTAAATTTAAAAATTAAAATAATAATGACATCTCATTTTAACAATCATATATTTATCAAAATTACAAAAAAAAATAAGGAAATAATAAAATTATGGCTTCAATTTTGGAAAAAATTTTGTCTCCTATAAAAACCTTGTTTTAATTCTGACTTATATAATCATTTATTTCAATTGGTGTTAAAGTTTTGTTGGTCCCGGCGTTGCCCGGGGATATAACAATAAAAGATAGATCAAGTATCCACCATCATAAAGACTGAAAAAATAAAATTGACAAAGATTATTGTTTAAGGTTGACGGACACGCATGTCTTAATTAGTTTTTTTTTTTTTTTTTTTTTACGAATTGGTCAAACCCAAACTCAAACAAAAACATTGTTTTCAATCGTTATGAGTCTACCGATTGAATAGAATTTTTTTATAAACAATTGTCTTGTAAATGGAATTTTTTGAAGCATTCTGAATGTAAAAAATAAAAGAAAAAAATGTGCAAGACAATAAGAAACACTACATGCCAAAAAAAAAAAAAAGTGAAGTTTTGTTGAAATCAGTTGAAAAATGTAGGTAGCCTTTCTGTAATCTTTTAGTTTTACAATTTATGATTTTTACTTATTGAATACAGTAAAAAAAAAAAAATGCATATTTTGCTTGTGGTGATTCATAATTAGAATTCTGATTTGAATATATTTTCCACTCGTTGTTTCTAATACAAAAAATATTAACTTTATTTGGGTTTATTAATTATGATCTAACAAATCTTATTCATTTAGTAGCCTTTCTGTAATAATAATCTTTTTACAATTTATGATTTTTACTTATTGAATACAGTAAAAAATTGGACACCATGTGTATTTAAAAGTAGTTTCCCGTTCCGGTTATTATTTTTTTAGTTAGGACTTGTGTATGTTTAGATTTCATTATCTTTCCCTAAAGATAAAAATTTATTCCGATGTTTGTATTCGTACAATCAGTAGAGATCGTTAGATTATTGTTTAAGGTTGACGGACACGCATGTCTTAATTAGTTTTTTTTTTTTTTTTTTTTTTTTAATTGGTCAAACCCAAACTCAAACAAAAACATTGTTTTCAATCGTTATGAGTCTCCCAATTGAATAGAATTTTATTATAAATAATTGTCTTGTAAATGGAATTTTTAAAGCATTCTGAATGTTAAAATAAAAAAAAAAAAAGTGTGCAAGAGAATAAGAAACACTACCTGCCAAAAAAAAAAAAAAAAAAAAAGTTTTGTTTTATCGGCTGAAAAATATAGGAAATCCGCTCCCATATTTAAAGGAACCCACACACAAAAACAACCCGATGTGAGTTGTCCCCTTCCATTTTCACGATGTCTCTTAATCGTGTTTTCAAATTGATTTTGTGCAAAAACAATTATATTTTTCCCCATTTTTGGCGCTGTTAGAACCACCACAAGGTAATTTTATGTAGTCCTGTGAAGTTTTGTTGAAATCGGTTGAAAAATGTAGGAAATCCGATCCAATATATAAACGTTACAGACACACACACACACACACACACACACAACACACATATACACACATATATATATATATAATAATATATATATATATATATATATATAATATATATAAAATTTAAATAAAAATATATATAAAATATAATTTAAAATTTAAGCAATGAATAACTAATTAAAATGGTAATATTTAATGAAAATATTTTTTGTTTATAATTTTGTTTATATATAATTCCTCTATTTTTTTAATTTAATAATAAAATTTAGATTTTTTAATCAATTTTAAAAAAAAATTATTTATTAAATAAATATATAAAAATAATGAGAATTTGAATTTTCTTTTGTAAATTTTTTTGATTTCAGGTTTATTAAAATTTATTGAGGAAAAAAATATATTTTTAAAATATATATATTATTATTTATATATATACTTATATATATATATATATATATGTTGTAATGTGTGTTTGAAATTTATGTGTATGTTATATTTTTTAAAATATTATATTTTAAAAAAAAATATGATTTTAAAATAAAAAATAATTTAATAAATATTAAATATATTTTTTTAATTGATTTCTTAAAAGTCTATTTACATAATGGATTTTCATTTTTTTTTATAGATGAAGATATGGACGTTCGAATAATAATTGACCCATAAAAAAAAAATATAAAATATATAATTGCATTTCGCTTATGTTTATTAATAACGTTAAACCATGCATTTATAGCTTTGGCAGAAATTAAACTTGTAAATTTCAAAGTTATACATTTTTATAATTATTTTTAATTTTTTTTTTTTTTATATTTAAAAATTTTTAAATAAGATGTTTCAATATATAAAATTTAAGTTTATATATTAATTATTTTATATTTTTCATTTTTCATTAATTTTAAACTATAAATTATTTAAACATTTGATCATTTAAAAAAAAAATAAGAAAAGAATTTATTTTTCAAATTTTCAATTTCATGTTTAAACGAAAAACTTTTTATATAAATTTTTTTAATTATGATTTTATATATTATATTTAAATTTATATATATATATATATATATATATATATATATATATATATATATATAATTATTTATTTAAAAATATGATTCCAAATTCACTACATAAACATGATCTCATGTTTCAAAAACAAGAGCCGAAAAATTCAATATAATCCTTTAAATTAAATTGAAATTGAAAAATAAAATGGGCTCTGTTCCATCTTCAAGCGAAAACATGTTGGAATAACGTATATCTGAAATTTACTTGTTTTTTAAATTGAAAATCAAAAATCCCCATGGTAACAGCTAGGGTGAATTGTCTAAAATTGGGTAGGCGAGTGTAGGGTGTTTATAATAAGTAGCGGTATAGAGATACTTTCAAGGTGTCAAGTCAAAAAAGGTTAAATGTCAAAAATGAAACGGAAGATGTATTATTTTTTTTTTTTGTTTGTTTATGGAGATTTATTTATTTATTTTATTTTATTTTATTTTTAAAAATATATTGTGCATAAAAAAAAAAAAAAAATTTCGTAACGTTTGTTTTTGACGACTTTATAAAGGGTTATCTTATATTAAGGTAATAAACTACTTTATTTAAAATATTAATTATTAAATATTTTGTTATTTGTATGTATTGTTTTTTTTTAATTATTTCTACTATGAATCTGATGATTGGGCTTTTTGTTAAAAAAATTATAAATAAAAATTTTTTTATTTTAAAAATTTGAACAAAAATCATTTTCTGAAAAAATTAAATGTATTTGTAAAATTTATTTATGATTTTCATTAAAAATTTTTTTTCCTTATTTTAATATTTAGAATTTTAAAATTTTAATATATTTGTGGTTATTTTACCATATGATATATATATATATATATTATATATATATATATATTATTATATAAATATTTATATTATATATTTATATTTATTATATTAAATTTTATTTTTTTTTTTTTAATTTTTTTAACAATGGATTTTTTTTAAATATAAATTTATTTTTAATATTAATTTTTTAAAATTCTTCTAATGTAAATATTAATTGATATTTTTTAAAATAAATAAATTTGATGTAATCAATTAAATTTCTGTTTAATTAATTTTAAAGATATTAATTGAATTTATTATATAAATTTTATAAATACTTCAAAAAAAATTTGAAAAAATAATGAAATATTTAGCTTTATTTTTGAAATGTTTAATCCATTAGTATTTGATCACTGAATATATTTTTAATTTAAATATATATCCAGTTTATTTTATTTTATTTTTTTTTTTAAATTCAAATGTTCTCTTTGGTGTTTTTTTTCATTCTTACTGATCTTTGAACTCCAATAAAATTAAAATAAAACAATTTTTCATATGAAAAAAAATATTCACATTTTTTTTGTTTCATTTTGATAATTTTTATTTTTTTTTTGAAATAATTTAATACAAAAATTTATTAAAAAATTTTTTTTTTTTTGAAAAATTTTTCTAAATTTTAAAAATTTATTTGAAAAATATTTTAAATGTTCATAATTGTTAACTATTTTTTTTGAATTTTTCAAAATCAACATTTAATATATTAATTTTAAAATTTTGAAAATTTTAAAAAGGTAAAAATAATATATTTTTTGGATAGGACAAATTAATTTCTTTCATTAATTTTTAAAAATTTTTTTATATATTTTGCTATAATAAATAAAATAAAATATTTATATTTATCCAATATATTTTTTTAAATCACCAATTTTTTATGTTTATTTTTTTTTCAAATATTTATATATATATTTAAAATATATATATATATATATATATATATATATATATATATAAATATAAATATTATAAATATTTTTCATTTATTTTTCAATAAAATTTTTTGTTTGTACATGTCTTTTTTGGCATTTTTGTTTTTATTTTTTTTTTTTAAAAAATGTTTTTTTAATTTTTATCTTTTTTTTTTTTTTTTATATAAATTTTATCAATTTTTTTTGGTGGAAAATAAAATTCATAAAAATTTATAAATACAATGTCCTTAAAATTTTTTTTATTATTTTATTTTTTTTTAATAAATTTTCAATGAAATTTTTAAATTAAAAAATAAATTTTTTTTTTAAGGACATTTAAACATAAATTTTTTTTTGAATAGGAAGAAAATTTTTAAAAAAAGACATTATAATTAAATAAAAATGAAAATTTAAATATTAATTTGAATTCCGCAATCCAAATTTTTATTTTTTAATTAATTTACACACAATTGACATGTTAAAAATCAAAAATTCAAAAAAAAAAATTTTTTTGTTAAATATAT